GGGCACAAACCCCCCCCCCGTTAAAAATGAAATTTAGCCGCTCGCTCTCCAAGTGTCCACAGCCCAAAATCTGGAGGGGGGGGAGAATCATATTTCCCCCCCCAACAGATCAGAATCCAAACTGGAGAGGAGACCACCAGGAAATGCAAGGCTTGGGTGGGGGAAGGGGAAGAGAAGCCGGGGGGGGGGAAGACCCCCCCCCAAAAAAACTTCAGAAGGAAAGGAGACCACCCAGCCTGCTTGCCCCTCGGCGGCCCAGCCCAGCCAAATCCAGGCCCCCTTCCGCAACAGTCCTCGCTTTACGCCCATTTTCCCCCTCCGTCGCTAAGCGAGACGTCGGCGGGGCGAGTTCGGCTCCCACCCCCCCTCTGTTTGCAATACTCAGCATGCGAAGCCCGGGCCGTTTTGTTCAGCTAAAGCCGGCGGTCGTTAAGCGGATCGGATTCTGGCGCAAAAGGGGATCGTGTGTACACGCGCGCACACACGCACACACGCGGGGCACCGGAAGCCTCGTGTGAGTCGCGGGGGGGGGGTTTCCGAATTTTGCTCGCGCGGCTTTGGTTGCCAACACCGTCGTCAACGTCGGTCACTAAACCAACCGTCATAAGTCGAGGACCGACGGTAATTGCATTTTTTTTTTTTTGCCCTCCCTCTGAAAAACCCTCTTGGCCAGCAAAGGGGTGGGTGGGCTAGAGGACCTCTCCACCCCCCCATCTAATATTTTTCCCAAATTTTACCGCTCTGAACTACGGACACAGCCCCCCCCCCAATTTAGGGAGCAACATGGCGTCCGTCTTCTGGATCACTCAAGGTCCCCAAAGGATCCCAATTTGGGGAAGAACATGGCGCCCCTTTCCTGGATCCCACAGCCCCCCCCGCAAGGTTCCCGATTTGGGGAGGAACATGGCGCCCGTTTCTGGATCCCACAGCCCCCAAAGGATCCCAATTTGGGGAAGAACGTGGCGCCCATCTAATGGATCCCACAGGTCCATGAAGGATCCCAATTTAGGGAGGCACGTGTCACCCGTCTTATGGATCCGACAGGCCCCAAAGGATCCCAATTTAGGGAGGAATGTGGTGACCATTTTCTGGATCCCACAGGGCCCCAAAGGTTCCCAATTTAGGGAGGAATGTGGTGCCCATTTTCCAGATCCCACAGGCCCCCAAAGGATCCCAATTTAGGGAGGAACGTGGTGGCCATTTTCCGGATCCCACAGGGCCCCAAAGGATCCAATTTAGGGAGGAATGTGGTGCCCATTTTCCAGATCCCACAGCCCCCCCCCCAAAAAAAGTCCCAATCTAGGGAAGAACGTGATGCTTGACTTCTGGATCACAAGCCCCCTCAAAAGATCCCAATTTGGGGAGGAACGGGGCACCCGTTTCCCGGATCCCACATGTCCCTAAAGGATTCCAATTTGGGGAAGAACGTGGCGCCCATTTTCTGGATCACAAAGCCCCCAAAGGATCCCAATTTGAGGAAGAAATGTGGTGCCAGTCTTCCGGATCCCACAGGCCCCCAAAGGATCCCAATTTGAGGAATGTGGAGCGCATTTTCTAGATCCCAGAGCCCCCCCCAAATCACAATCTGGGGAAGAACGTGGTGCTTCACTTCTGGATCATAAACCCCCTCAAAGGATCCCAATTTGGGGAGGAACGGGGCACCCGTTTCCCGGATCCCACATGTCCCTAAAGGATTCCAATTTGGGGAAGAACGTGGCGCCCATTTTCTGGATCACAAAGCCCCCAAAGGATCCCAATTTGAGGAAGAAATGTGGTGCCAGTCTTCCGGATCCCACAGGCCCCCAAAGGATCTCAATTTGAGGAACGTGGCACCCATTTTTTAGATCCCAGAGCCCCCCCCAATCACAATCTGGGGAAGAACATGGCGCTTCACTTCTGGATCCCACAGGCCCCAAAGGATCCCAATTTCGGGAGCAACATAGCGCCGGTCTTCTGGATCCCACGGGGCCCCCCCCAAAGGATCCCCACGTGAGGAGGAATGTGGTGCCCATTTTCCGGATCCCAAAGGGGCCCCCAAAGGATCTCAATTTAGGGAAGAAGGTGGCCAGCCCCCGTCTTACGGATCGCAACCCCCCCCAAAGGATCCCAATTTGGGGAGGAGGAATGTGGTGTGCTTCTCCTCCTGGATCGCCAAGCCCCTCCAAAGGATCCCAATGCAGGGAAGCACATGGCTCCCAGAGGAGAGCAAAGGATCCCAACGTGGGGAGGAATGTGGTGCCCATCTTCCGGATCCCACAGGACCCCAAAGGATCCCAATTTAGGGAGGAATGTGGTGCCCATTTTCCAGATCCCACAGGCCCGCAAAGGATCCCAATTTGAGGAACGTGGAGCCCATTTTCTAGATCCCAGAGACCCCCCCCCCAAATCCCAATTTGGGAAAGAACGTGGTGCTTGACTTCTGGATCCCACAGGCCCCCAAAGGATCCCAATTTGAGGAATGTGGAGCCCATTTTCTAGATCCCAGAGCCGCCCCCCCCAAATCCCAATCTGGGGAAGAACGTGGTGCTTCACTTCTGGATCCCACAAGCCCCAAAGGATCCCAATTTCGGCAGCAACGTAGCGCCTGTCTTCTGGATCCCACGCCCCCCCCCCCAAAGGATCCCCACGTGAGGAGGAATGTGGTGCCCATCTTCCGGATCCCACAGGGGCCCCCAAAGGATCTCAATTTAGGGAAGAAGGTGGCCAGCCCCCGTCTTACGGATCGCAACCCCCCTCCCAAAGGATCCCAATTTGGGGAGGAGGAATGCGGTGTGCTTCTCCTCCTGGATCGCCAAGCCCCTCCAAAGGATCCCAGTGCCGGGAAGCACATGGCTCCCAGAGGAGAGCAAAGGATCCCACATGGCCCCCAGAGGAGAGCAAAGGATCCCAACGTGGGGAGGAAGGTGGCGCCCGGCGTCTGGATCCCACCAATCCCCAAAGGATCCCAATTTGGGGAGGAAGGTGGTGCCCATCTTCCGGATCCCATAGGCCCCCAAAGGATCCCAAAGTGTGTGTGTGTGTGTGTGTGTGTGTGTGTGTGTGTGTGTGTCTCTCTTTCTCTCTCTCTCTCTTTCTCTCTCTTTCTGCAAGGATTGCACCTGGAGGGCCAGCCAATCCCTTGCAGAGGGAGTGTGGGTGGGGAAGGCCCCCCCAGCAGGAGTCGCCCTCAGGACCCAACAAGGAGGCTCCAACCACCCTCCTCCTCCTCCCCCCACTTCCAACCCCCCCCCCACTGCTGACTCAGGAGACGCGCGCCGAGGAAGTGCCCCGACCGGTTTGCCCCCCCTCCCTCTTCCCTTCCCCGCCCGAAGGGGGGGGGGGTGTCCGATGACATCACCTTCTCTCTCCTCACCTTGCCTGGGGGGGGGGGTTGGAAGGAGGACTACAAACCCCAGCGTGCAAAGCCGGCGGGCGGGCGGCCTACTACCTGTAGGCCGCTGCGGCAGAAGTCGGGGTGGGGGGGGTGAGAGAAGTGGGATGAAAAGGAGGGGGGGCTTTGCAAGGTTGCAAAAAAACACGATTGACGGACAACACACACACACACACACACACACACAATCCTCTCCGGGTCTTGCAATTCTCGGGGACCCCCCCCATCACCCCCTTCCGGTCGTGCAATTTCTGGGGACCCCCCCCCCATCCTCAAGTCTTGCAATTCTCTGGACCTCCCCCCTACTATTCCCAAGTCTTGCAATTCTAGGGACCCCCACCCACCCTTCCCAAGTGTTGCAAATCTCGGGGACCCCCCCTCAAGTCTTGCAATTCTGGGGACTCCCCCCACCCTCAAGTCTTGCAAATCTCGGGGACCCCCGCCCACCTTCCCCAGGTCTTGCAATTCTCGGGACCCCCTCCCCATCCACGCCTTGCAAATCTCGGGGACCCCCTCCCACACCCTCGTCTTGCAATGCTCGGGGACCCCCCCACCACCACCCTTCCCAGGTCTTGCAATTCTAGGGACCCCCCCCCACCCCACCTCAAGTCTTGGCAACCTCGGGAGCCCCTCCCCACTGAAGTCTTGCAATTCTCGGGACCCCCACCCACGCTCAAGTCTTGCCATTCTCGGGGACCCCCACCCTCAAGTCTTGCAATTCTCAGGACCCCCACCCACCCTCGTCTTGCAATTCTTGGGGACCCCCCACCCTCAAGTCTTGCAATTCTCAGGGACCCCCACCCTCAAGTCTTGCAATTCTCAGGGACCCCCACCCACCCTCAAGTCTTGCAATTCTCAGGGACCCCCACCCACACTCAAGTCTTGCAATTCTCAGGGACCCCCACCCTCAAGTCTTGCAATTCTCGGGGACCCCAAGTCTTGCAATTCTCGGGGACCCCAAACCCTCAAGTCTTGCAATTCTCGGGGACCCCCACCCTCAAGTCTTGCCATTCTCGGGGACCCCCCTGCCCACCGAAGTCTTGCAATTCTCGGGACCCCCACCTTCCCCAGGTTTTGCAATTCTCGGGGACCCCCCCCCACCCTCCACTCTTGCAATTCTCGGGGACCCCCCTCCCCACCGAAGTCTTGCAATTCTCGGGGACCCTCACTCCCCCTCGTCGTGCAATTCTCGGGGAGCCCCCCCCGACCCTCCCCAGGTCTTGCAATTGTCGGGACCCCCACCCCGACCCTCCAGTCTTGCAATTCTCGGGGACCCCCCCTCCCCACCCTCCCCAGGTCTTGCCGTTAATGGCAACCTCCCCCCCCTCCTTCCTCCTCCTCCTCTTCCGGGATGCCCCAAGGTCACCCGGCCAGCCCCCTCCCCAGCATTACCTTAACTCCCACGGGACCCCCACCCACCCACCCACCGACCCACGCGCGGGAGGCGGGGGGGGCGCCCCTGCTCTGTGTGTGTGTGTGTGTGTGTGTGTGTGTGTGTGTGTGTGTGTGTCTTTGCAAGGGGCCGGAGCACGTGCAAGCCAGGCCCGGGCGGGGGGAGCCCCCTCCCCTCTCCAGGGGAGACCCCTCCCCACTCCCACCCCCACCCCCCACCCCGCGTTGCAAAACCCACCTGGAGCCGTTGCAACGGCCGCCGCCGCCGCCGCCGCTTCGGTTTCGGTGGCGCGGCGGGCCGGGAGCCGCCCCACGCGGGGCTTGTGGCGCTGCATCGCGGCCCTGCAAGAGGGAGGAGGGGGAGGAGGAGGAGGAGGAGGAAGAGGAGGAGGAGGAGAAGCTCCGCACAGCTTTCTCTCACCCCCCCCCCACTACTCAGGCTTTCTTTCCTGCCCCCCCCCCCTTGCTTCCTGCGCGCAGCCTCCTTGATCTCCTCTCCCCCCCTCCCCAGGCGAAAGGGGCGGGCCCCGCGGTGGGGCGGGGCGATGAGAGGGGGGAGGGGGGAGGCAAGCCCCTCCCCCGGCCCTCCCTTCTCTCTCTCTCTCTCTCCCCCTCTCCCCTCCTTCTCTCTCTCTCTCCTTCTCCCCTCCTTCTCTCTCTCTCTCCTTCTCCCCTCCTTCTCTCTCTCTCTCTCCCCTCCTTCTCTCTTGCTCTCTCTTTCTCCCCTCCTTCTTCTCTCTTTCTCTCTCCTCCCCTCCTTCTCTCTCTCTCTCTCTCCCCTCCTTCTCTCTCTCTCCCCTCCTTCTCTCTTGCTCTCTTTCTCCCCTCCTTCTTCTCTCTTTCTCTCTCTCTCCCCTCCTTCTCTCTCTCTCTCTTTCTCCCCTCCTTCTTCTCTCTCTCTTCTCCCCTCCTTCTCTCTCTCTCTCCCCCTCCTCTCTTGCTCTCTCTTTCTCCCCTCCTTCTTCTCTCTTTCTCTCTCCTCCCCTCCTTCTTCTCTCTTTCTCTCTCCTCCCCTCCTTCTTCTCTCTTTCTCTCTCCTCCCCTCCTTCTTCTCTCTTTCTCTCTCTCTCCCCTCCTTCTCTCTCTCTCTCTCTTTCTCCCCTCCTTCTTCTCTCTCTCTTCTCCCCTCCTTCTCTCTCTCTTCTCCCCTCCTTCTCTCTCTCTTCTCCCCTCCTTCTCTCTTGCTCTCTTTCTCCCCTCCTTCTTCTCTCTTTCTCTCTCTCTCCCCTCCTTCTCTCTCTCTCTCTTTCTCCCCTCCTTCTTCTCTCTCTCTTCTCCCCTCCTTCTCTCTCTCTCTCTCCCCCTCCTCTCTTGCTCTCTCTTTTTCCCCTCCTTCTCTCTCTCTTTCTCCCCTCCTTCTCTCTTGCTCTCTCTTTCTCCCCTCCTTCTTCTCTCTCTCTTGTCCCCTCCTTCTTCTCTCTTTCTCCTCCCCTCCTCCTTCTCTCTCGCTCGCTCTCTTCTCCCCTCCTTCTTTCTCGCTCTCTCTTCTCCCCTTCTCTCTCTCTCTCCTCTCTCTCTTCTCCCCTCCTTCTTCTCTCTCTCTCTTCTCCCCTTCTCTCTCTCTCTCTCTCTTCTCCCCTCCTTCTCTCTCTCTCTCCCTTCTCCCCTCCTTCTTCTTCTTCTCTCTCTCTCTCTCTCTCTCTCTCTCTCTCTCTCTCTCCCTCCCTCCTCCCCACGCCGCTCCTGCGGGGCGGGCTGCTGGCCTTCTTCTTCCCCCTCTCCTCCCCCCCTTGCCTCAGTGGGGGGAGGACTACAGCGCCCATGGGCCGGGCCCTCCAGCTGCTCCCCCTCCCCCCTTGCACGTGGGGAAGGATTACACTTCCCATGTGTCGAAGCCCTCCAGCTGCTTCCCCTCCCCCCCGTTGCATCAGTGGGGAGGACTACAGCTCCCATGCGCCGCGCCTTCCAGCTGCTTCTCCTCCCCCATTGCACGTGGGGAAGACTACAGCTCCCATGCGTTGAAGCCCTCCAGCTGCTTTCCCTTCCCCCTTGCCTAAGTGGGGAGGACTACCGTGACCATGCGCCGCACCTTCCAGCTGCTTCCCCTCCCTCGTTGTATAAGTGGAAAGGACTACAGCTCTCATGCGTGGAAGCCCCCAGCTGCTTCCCCTCCCCGTTCCATAAATGGGGAGGACTACAGTGCCCATGAGCCGCGCCCTCCAGCTGCTTCCCCTCCCCCGTTGCATATGGAGAGGACTCCACTTCCCATGTGTCGAAACCTTCCAGCTGCTTCCCCTCCCCCTTGCATAAGTGGGGAGGACTACAGCACCCATGCACCGCGCTTCCAGATGCTTCCCCTCACCTGTTGCGTAAGTGGGAAGGACTACAGCACCCATGCACCGCGCCCTCCAGATGCTTCCCCTCCCCCCCTTGCATAAGTGGAGAGGACTACAGCTCCCATGCGTCGAAGGCCCCAGCTGCTTCTCCTCCCCTGTTGCATAAGAGGGGAGGACTACAGTTCCCATGCGCCGCGCCCTCCGGCTGCTCCCCTCGCTGCACAAGTGGACGACTACAGCTCCCATGCGCCGCGCCCTCCAGCTGCTCCCCTCGTTGCACAAGTGGGGAAGACTACAGAACCCATGCGGGGCGCCCTCCAGCTGCTCCCGTTGCATAAGTGGGGAGGACTACAACTCCCATGCGCCGCACCCTCCAACTGCTTCTCCTCCCCTGTTGCACGTGGAGAGGACTACACTTCCCATGCGTCGGGGCAGAGAGGGTCCGACTGGGGGGGGGAGAGAAAGTGGGAGGAGATCTTCTCCCTCCCTCACCCAGGGACCCCCCCCCCGAACTGGAAAGGAATAGAGTGGGGAGGGGGTCTTCTAAGATCTGGGCGGGGCTTGTCCGCATCGGGGCATGCGCGGTGGGAAAGCACGCTGCTCCTGCAGCTGGAGGCTCTCCAGACCGCAGGGTGAACAGCCCCCCCCCCCAAAAAAAACCAGCCTCCAAGTTCTTGCAGCTCCCCCCTCCCTCTTCCTTCCAAGGGAGTGGACGGGACTTCAACTCCCAGAATTCCTCAGCCAGGCACGCTGGCTGAGGAATTCTGGGAGTTGAAGTCCACAAGTCACAAAAAGGCCCGGTTTGAAGACCACTGTTTGAAAGCTTCCCGGCTGAGGAATTCTGGGAGTTGAAGTCCACCAGTCACCAAGTGGCCCAGTTTGAAGACCACTGTCTGAAAGCTTCCCGGCTGAGGAATTCTGGGAGTTGAAGTCCACAAGTCATCAAAGGGCGAAGTTTGAAGACCCCTGTCTTAAACCCTCCCGGCTGAGGAATTCTGGGAGTTGAAGTCCCCAAGTCACAACAGGGCCCAGTGTGAAGACCCCTGTCTTAAACCATCCTGGGTGAGGAATTCTGGGAGTTGAAGTCCCCAAGTCATCAAAGGGCCACATTTGAAGACCCCCCCATCTTGGAGAGAGGAAGCCAGGGAGGGGGCTCCCTCCTGTGGGCGGGGCTGGTCCCCACGTGCCGGAAGGCAAGCGTGTGTGTGGGGGGGTCCCCGGAAGTGCCTCCCCCCACAGGGGTTTCTCCGGGGAGGGGGAGAGGGAACAGCACGACGCCCCCACAAAAAAAAGACCCTGCAGCGAAAACATGCCCTTTGATTGCGGAGAACGAGGGATCGGAGACACCCGTGTCAGGTTTCCAGCATTCACACGTGACTTGCATCCAAAGGGCTCACACCTGGAAGGGAGGGGGGGGGAAAGAAGCCAGGATGGGAAGCCAGACTATAAACCCTGGTTTGCAGAAGGCGAGGCAGACCCTCCCCTTCCCCTGCCCGCCCCCTCTCCCCAGCCATGGAGCCTGACTGCAGGGGGTTGGATTAGATGACCTCCGAGGTCCCCTCCAACTGGGTTATTCTATGATTCTGTCAGGGTCTCCTGCTTGAACAGGAGGCTGGACTAGAGGACCTCCGAGGTCCCTTCCAAGCTATGTGATTCTATGATTCTGTCAGGGTCTCCTCTTCGAGCAGGGGGTGGACTAGATGACCCCCAAGGTCCCTTCCAACATTTGTTATTCTAGGATTCTGTCAGGGTCTCCTGCTTGAGCAGGGGGCTGGACTAGATGCCCTCCAGAGTCCCTTCCAACATTTGTTATTCTAGGATTCTGTCAGGGTCTCCTGCTTGAGCAGGGGGGCTGGACTAGATGACCTCCAGCATCTCTTCCAACTCTGTAATTCTGTAATGGTTTGCTGCTTGAGCAGGGGTTGGACTAGATGACCTCCAAGATCCCTTCCAGTTCTTTTAATTCTGCAAGGGTCTATCGCTTGAGCAGGGGGCTGGGCTAGATGACCTCCGAGGTCCCTTCCAAGCTATGTGATTCTATGATTCTGTCAGGGTCTCCTCTTCGAGCAGGGGGTGGACTAGATGACCCCCAAGGTCCCTTCCAACATTTGTTATTCTAGGATTCTGTCAGGGTCTCCTGCTTGAGCAGGGGGCTGGACTAGATGCCCTCCAGAGTCCCTTCCAACTCTGTTATTCTATGGTTCTGTCAGGGTCTCCTGCTTGAGCAGGGGGGCTGGACTAGATGACCTCCAGCATCTCTTCCAACTCTGTAATTCTGTAATGGTTTGCTGCTTGAGCAGGGGTTGGACTAGATGACCTCCAAGATCCCTTCCAGTTCTTTTAATTCTGTAAGGGTCTATCGCTTGAGCAGGGGGCTGGGCTAGATGACCTCCGAGGTCCCTTCCAAGCTATGTGATTCTATGATTCTGTCAGGGTCTCCTCTTCGAGCAGGGGGTGGACTAGATGACCCCCAAGGTCCCTTCCAACATTTGTTATTCTAGGATTCTGTCAGGGTCTCCTGCTTGAGCAGGGGGCTGGACTAGATGCCCTCCAGAGTCCCTTCCAACTCTGTTATTCTATGGTTCTGTCAGGGTCTCCTGCTTGAGCAGGGGGGCTGGACTAGATGACCTCCAGCATCTCTTCCAACTCTGTAATTCTGTAATGGTTTGCTGCTTGAGCAGGGGTTGGACTAGATGACCTCCAAGATCCCTTCCAGCTCTTTTAATTCTGTAAGGGTCTATCGCTTGAGCAGGGGGCTGGGCTAGATGACCTCCGAGGTCCCTTCCAACTCTATCATTCTATGAATCTGAAAGGGTTTCCTGCTTGACCAGGGGGTTGGACTAGATGACCTCTGAGACCCCTTCTATAACTCTGTCATTCTATGATTCTGGAAGGGTCTCCTGCTCGAGCAGGGGGTTGGACTAGATGACCTCCAAGGTCCCTTCCAGCTCTTTTAATTCTGTAAGGGTCTATTGCTTGAGCAGGGGGCTGTGCTAGATGACCTCCGAAGTCCCTTCCAACTCTTGTCATTCTCTGTCAGGGCTCTGTCTTCAAACTCAGCCTTTTTATGACTCCTGAACTTCAACTCCCAGAATTCCTCGGCCAGCCTGGCTCAGCTTGGAAACCTCTCCCT